GGCGATCTGGATAGAAACTGACAGCAAAAACGCCACTGATATCAGTTGTATTGCGCTGTAACGTATTGTTTGAAGGAAAGAAAAAAGCTTCCCATGAATTTCACTTGGTACTGAGTCTAAGACTACTTAAGCCATAAAGTGTATTTGATGTGGTTACGCTTGCATTCACATAAAGCAGGCCAATTTAGTAATCACTTCTCAACTAAATGGGTATTTCTTGCCTTCGCAAGTTGCAATTTGGAGGGCTTGATTCACCCGATTTATTGGATGGAGTTAGCAAACACAGGCAATAATACTGTTTGCAAAAAACATAGCAATTGCAGTTACCTAAGGTAAATACAGCCACTGCCATTTAGTGGTAAAAATGTAGAACTCCACGTTTTATGTCAGCGCTTTCATGTGGAACGAGGTATGGGGAGCTGCAACAGAAAACTGAACTGTAAGCTATGGAACAACTGTGGAACTTCCGGAATAAAGTAGCTGTCCGCCATTGAATCCCTGGAAGTGCTGTTTATATTTAATGTCTCGTCAGTCAGAAAAATGTGATACCCGAGTGTACATGAGCATTAGACTACTTGTCGTTGACAATGTTTAGTGTCTTCTTTCTACAGAAATGGAGGGAGAGTGGTTCAGTTCACCCTAAGTTCCCGAAGTGAGGCTCTAGTTAAATTTTGTCTTGAACTCATACCCTTTTGGGGTTCTGATGAGGAAATTCTCCACTGATTTGAAGTTTCAACAGCCAAAAAATGTTTATTGAAGTTACACGAATAAACGTTTGTAATAAAAAATTCAACAAACGATTTTAGCCTTTTTTACAAAAGAAAAGACTTATTCAATTGTGAGGCCCCAGAGTTGTGAACCATCTGTGCACCATAATAACCAAATTAGACTCGTGGTTTTAAATTCCAAATGCGATTGTCTTGGTGAGAAAAATCAGCAATAAACTTATTTTCTGCTACTAAGAGTTTAAATGTTTCATGTTTATTTGCATTATCATGCCAGCATAAAGAAGATTATTCTTCTTGCAACACACGGAACGTTCTCCACATCGCAATACTCGTGCATCGACTTTATTATAAAGACTCATCTACACGTCAAAGTTACATCCAATGGCATGATGTGAAGTAGCAAGTACCCCATCTAAGTCCTATAACAGCACATCCTCTACAGTTTATGATTTCATCGAAATACTATTGTTGTGCTGTTGATACTACACGTTCTTCAAGTAAATTCTAACGACGACACCGCTTTTTGTAAGATGTAAGGATGCGACTGAGTAGGACAGAAAAATTCGTAATTCTCTGAACGAAAAAACACTTAAAATGACAAATCTCCAGTCAAAACGTATTCGCTTCCCCGAAAAAGCTGCTAATTTTGTCTAATTTCTGATTGAGCTGCCTGGTTCATGTGAGTTTTGACTGCACCTTTTGTTCAGTCTCATCCACTCTGTTATGTTATTTGATTATGCATCAAAACTCCGTTGCACGAATTTTCTGGAATAAGTAGAGCAATTTAAAGGGCATTGGCTCCTAAGCCTTCAGATTTGTGGATAGTTCGTGCATTTGAACACACCGAAACTTAGTGCACCGGTCCTGGTCCTGCAGTGACAAATCTAAAAGCCTCGTGTGCACTGCACTTTGTGCTGGGCAACAACAACAGACAGTGCATTCAGGAGATTGTTTACATTCTCTATTTGATGCAAAATCAGTAAGAATATCAGCAACGATCCTTTGCGATGAGCTAGACTCACCGTTTTCAGATTTCCGTTTACTAGCTTCAACTGGAATAAGGGATTAGGGCAAGCCTCGTAACCATGAATTATCAGCCTTCGTTAATTAGTGCCAAGACAGCTGTGATATTCAAGATGAAGACGATACTGGCGATGATGGCAACACGTACCGATGTTCTGGGCTGAAGAGTCAATATGTTTTTCGCTCTTCAATGAATAAAACGAATCGCTTCAGCCTTTTTTATGGCATAAATTTCTTGATCAAAATATTAAGTTGGACAAGGTTGCTACTAGGACCGTTGGGTTGTTCCATTTTAAGTTCATCATTCCTCTTTGGTTGATTGGGGCAGTATCATTTTGTTTCCATCCATAGGTTTTTCAAAAATTGAAAACCTTGAAGAGTATACAGGTTTGCGGTGCCTGTTTCTCGAGGTCAACGGATTAGATAGCCTGACTGGCTTGGAAAACCAAAAAGAGTTGCGTTCTTTGTACTTGGCGAAGAATCTCCTCCGGAAGATTGAGAACTTGGACCATATGCAATATCTTGACACACTGGATGTCAGCAACAACATGATCACTAAGATAGAAAATCTGGGTACGTTCACTTGTGTTTGTGTTTTGTGTGAGAAACTAGTGAGGGAAAACTTGAAGTTGTGTAATCATTCTGTGACGATGGAAATCTCATCTATGTATCTGTTACGAGAATCGGAAGCCAGAGTCCCCTGCTTGGTTCAGCTTGCGAGCAAAATACTGATCTTCGTCACTACTCATTCGGTTATGTGTAATGAGTGAATTTTCCATGGTGCGAAGAGTTATCTCACATTAGCGCTTTAGAGTCCAACTAACGATTCGGCGGTCATAAACTACCACAGTCAGTCTAGCATAGCAAATTGTATATGCCTGAAAGGTACAACACACGCGTATGACTCACTCATTTAGACAGGAACTGGATAGATGTTTATGTGATCAATTCAGTTAACTTGCATACGGATCAACAGCGACTGAAATGGAAATTTAGCCAAGACGCTCCAGAGAAACAAAATACAATGGAATAACATTTAAGTAGTAAAACATCCAGCCCTCCAACTAGAGAGTTCTTTAAAAGTAGCACGAGATAAGTGCCTCAAATCCACATGCATCCCATTTCAAGTTTCACTTCTTTTGGAGATCATCAGTTAAGCAGAGTATCTGGAAGCTGAGGTACTCAAACAATGAACCAAAGAGAAATCTGTTCAAATGTTTACCTTTGGGCTGATATGAATTTCTGAGTTTCCGGGAGCCGCACCTAACTGATAAACATCAACCAAGGCAGATTGTGAGCAACCTTCCAATGCTATCCAAAAACAATGGAAACGCTGTGGAATATCTGCGCAACGGAACCTCTAGGTAAACGGTGTACCACAGATTTCTTAGAGTTATATCAATATGCTGGTGACTACCGTGTTTTTAGTTCCTAGAAACTATTGATTTTGAAGGAAAGGGTCACTAAACTGCAGGTGTGTGGATGGCTTAAGGTCACTACCATATTCACATCAAGATTAACGTTACTTCACGCCACCATTAACTCCCCATACAGATATGCTCCCAAATTTTACCCGGCTGATCATTGCACATAACAAACTGACAAATTTGGAGGATTTGCTTCACGTGATCAACTGTCCACAACTGTCCGTGCTTGATCTGCAACACAACCACATCAAGGATCCAGAGGTCGTGGAGGAGGTCTTTGCCAAGATGCCATCATTGGTAAGCTCCATGCCCTATACAGACGCATGCATTATTTGGCTTTTGACGGATAAAACGTAACAGAAGATAGGCACTGCATGTTACTTCATTGTTCACGAGTGCACCAGCTAAACCGCAAGGAACATGCAGGCTGATAATGCCGAACAAAAAATTGACGTTTACTATTAAGTTAAATGCAAACCCTCAATGTTGTTTACATGGCTAGCAGGGCATAAGCACACCCGTTCGTGTCCGCAAACCGCGCTTAGTACGGCATTATCTTTCAGCAGGTCAGTTGATAGCCTGAAACGACAACGTTCAGACCGATGTAGGACGTTTGAGTCTATCGATTATCCTCGACACAAGTTAACGAAAATGCTCCCGGATAGATACCTATGATAGCCTAGTTGCTGACCGCCACACTTGGACGGCCTTGGACGTCCAGGCACATCCTCATGTAGGAAATCTGCGAAGTAAAACAATCATTAAAATTGGACACAATGTGTTCCCGATTGAACCTGAACTGTGACCATAGCCGTTTGCTTATTACTGTCGGTTTTACACCGCAAAGAAAGATGCCGTCAGGCAAATGTCTCAGAAGTGATTCAGTCCAAATTATTTTTTACTGCAAAATAAAGTTCATGAAAGAAAATCGACCAGATCCTTCTGTAAGTTACACTTGCGATGAGAACGGTGTGGGCAGGTTGAGTATGTAGTTCGTAGTTGGTCATACTACATCTGGAAGCCATCTGAAGCCGAACAAAATTGGTTTCCAAAGAGTGAGCCGAGTTAAAGTCATCTGGATTCGTCCATTTTTGATCGTGTTCAAGAAAACCAATGAGGACGTTAGCCTGATATTCAATCATATCAATGAAGAACACTGACAGATTTTCATCCCAGGAGAGTGGCGATATCCAGCGGCTATAACTAGATGATCTGTTTATTTGTGTCTGACTACACAGTACTAATGATACAGGAATCACTATAGTTGGTAATCGCACTTTGATCGACCTGCCTGGAGAATGAACAAGTAACGCCTACTGGCTTCGAACAGACCCAAAAATGCACATGAAAAATAATGGTCCGGTTTCCCTTAGGAACTATCGCTGGTGGGCTGTGACTGCTGCGGTTGAATCAAACTAGGCTTCACCTTTTCTTCATCCAAATAAACCGATCCACAATCCTCTGCTCTTTTGAGGATACGAGAATCGTAAGATGATTAAAAGTACATGAATAATATCTATCTTTTGTGGTTTTTGCTGTAAATTTAGACAAACTGACAAACCTCACGACGCACCAATAGTTCTATCAGAAAAATCATAATAACCTCCCAGCACACCTAGTTTTCAGTACTTTTTGTTAACTGCTTTTCACCTTTTCTATAACGACAACTAAACTCCAGTATCCTCTTGATCATTATTGCAGGAGTATGGAAAGCCATCTGTTTTGACTGCGACAACTTTTAGGTACCCAGTATTGCTACTTACATAGCTGAGGCTTTCCAATAGATGGCACAATGGAGTTCCATTTTTCCGTCAGGTTTAGATGTCATATTTGTTAAACTCAGTTATTCTCATGTGGTCTAACGTGAACCTAATGACGAAATGATTGCACAGTGACTGCCAAAGTAATTCAGGAAACAAGTGTAATGAGCTAACTAAATACTCTAGACTTGTGATATTCTGCTTACTAAATTCTCTAGTAACAACACTTATTTTTCAGTCCTTTTGAAAGGGTTCGAAACCGACTGAGAAGTCATCGCTTCTGAAGGGCCTGGTAAATTACCGATTGTTTACCAAGCCCTTCTGAAGCATTGAAACTTTTGTTTCTATTTGGGGCCATCTCGGAATGGTACCTAACTAAGCGCTGGTTAGTTCATTTCTGTTCCGGTTGAGAAAATATTCCTTTATCACATCAATTGTAATTCCATCGTCCTATTTTACTTGACTGGCAAATCCAGTTACGTGTCAACATGAACTGCTATTATCTGCTCTCTTGAGGTGCATACCAGACAAGAATACCTTTTGCTTAATTCCGAGTTGTTTGCTCTTATTCTCTGTTTTCCGGCGAAATAGTCCATAATGCACAACTTACATTTATAGGTATGTGTTTTCGGAGCCACCTCGTAGTAAAGATAAATGTTTAGAAGACATGACCCCAATATGATCTTCAGCAATTTCTGTGAATTATGACATAGGACTTCCCCCTTTGTATCCGAAAGTGATGAAAACGATAGCAGCTACGACAATCCACCTACGGTTTTTACCCGTCTAATGACAACTAAGTGACTGATTATGGTCGGATATCGGCGGAGTTTCTCAGGCAAATATAAAATAATGGAATTTTTGCATTTCTTTTTCAGCGCGTTCTGTACAACCAAGGTAATCCTTTCGTGCGGGTCGTTAAAAACTATCGAAAGAAAGTAATCAACCTCTGTGTAAGTCTTTTTTATCTCAAAAATATCGTTGAAGTTTACACGTTCTGCTCGAAATAGATGCGATGCTGTATTCGAAGGCATCCCATGCTAAAAAAAGGAAACAGTATACTGCTATTCAGTGTTTGTCGACAGTTATCAGTACTGTGCAATTCATGAGCGGCTCGAGTATTTTGAATCCATGAGCTTCTCCTTGGTAGTTAAATAATCCATTATTTTGCCAGGAGTGGCTGAACAGTAGTGTGATTCATTTGCGGGCATTGTACAATCACAGAGAAGTTCAATTTTATTTGGGCATCACTTCAAACAATATGCATGGTTTGCACTTTAATTTGATAAAATGTCAGTCGCATAATGAATTAAGTTACTTCCCGATTTTTTCTCATTGCAGAAACAGTTGACTTACCTCGATGATCGCCCAGTTTTCCCAAAAGACCGCGCTTGCGCCGAGGCTTTGTAAGTTTCTACAAATTCCCCGATTAGTTTTTTTGCTTCCAGTTATGAGGGTGGCGCCGAGTTGGAGAATGAAGTCCGTCAGAAATGGAATGCAGAAGAACAGCAGAAAATAATAGACAGTTGCCGATGTGAGTTTTTTTAACGGAACTAACCGGTGCCAATGCCTAGCAGATGTCAGTCAACTCTATCAATCGTGGGTGGTCAGAATACCCATCCCCATTTATTTAGACCTCCTCAAAGCAAACTAGTTTTTGCACGATCCGATCATTCAGGGACAAATAAGTTTTCCAGTAGAGAAAAAATCAAGTTTCAATAACCTGAATAACTGCCCATATGTTTTCTCTCCCCAACGTGGGTACCACTTCTGGCTAAACGTTCACAGGGAAGGTCTTTCTTTGCAAAAAAGGATTAGTCCAAGTTATGGCAAGCGACCTGTGGTAATAACGAAAGTCTCGTTATAAAAGTAACAGGAATTGTTCTTTGTAACCTGCTACTGATCCAATGGCCTTCAGTGTGATAAGGTTGGGCAACGTTGGTTGTATCCACATATTGATTGGCTGCTATGATGTTTGTTGAGCCAGACATTTATCCGTGGGTACATTTCCTCACTGGCCGACTGCGCGTAATCACTATGCATTAGTCTCAACTTTTCGAAACCGGTCAGTGCCACGTTATCAACAAGCATAAAGTTATGGACCTTTTTCAGACATTTATCTGTTATCCACTTAGAAAGCTGAATGCAGTGTGAAAGGAATGACACGCGACCATTGGAAGTTCAAAAGGAACTGAACAATTTCTTGTGACATCCAGACAGAAGGATGCCTCCATTCTGTGTGGATATACGGGCGACTCATCTACATTTTCTGAGTGAATATACACAGTAGACCGCACTTGTTAGACCTCACTCTGTTCTCTAAAGCAATGCCTCTAGAGTATCACTTCTCTCACTGTAGAAAAGAATTACGAGGGTTATTTCTGTCGTCTTTCTGGAGTGACTTCCCTTCAGTTACCTTACATTGGTATGAGAATCTTTCACTACATAAAACAGTGGATATTCTCTTTATCCTCACAATAATGTGCCTATTTACGGCATTGATATCATACCACCACCTTAGACCAAGTAGTCGAATCAAAGCCCATCCAATCACAGCGGTGCCAAATTTGGTTGGATGCAGTCGGAGTTTTAGGGAATCGGGTAGAGGTTTGGGTAGGGAGGCGATAGATTCTGCTGACACCTAACCTGCGTAGAATGGATCGTTTTCTACTTCTGATTGTTCACTTTAAATCAACCGGCTCTCCAAAAACCGATCTATCCTCAATTTTTTTCATTTTTTCAATATGCGCGCATTTTTGCGGTCTATTATCATTTAATACTTCTGATTGTTCACTTTAAATCAACCGGCTCTCCAAAAACCGATCTATCCTCAATTTTTTTCATTTTTTCAATATGCGCGCATTTTTGCGGTCTATTACTCATTTAATAACTGCAGTCGCATGAAGTGTGGAGCGCTCTGTTAGCTGAAGAGAACTGGCAAAAAAATGAGTAGCACCAGTTCGGATTATCTGGCATTAAGTCACTGCGGGCACAGCGCCTACTGAATAAATGGCTTTTTTACATGAAACTCCCTTTGTCTGAGAACAGCCTCGTGATTGGAGTATGCCTACCTATTAAAAGAAACGTTTTACCGATATCTCCCCTTTCAATCGTCATAGAAGTGCATCGGTTCGGCTGATCTGAGCTTAAGGTGACAGTTCCATACTACTGATAAGAGTGAAACATCAGAAAGGTGTTTTATGTGAAGTTTCGTCGGAGTACCCTTCGAAAATCTTCAGGGAGTTATGTCCCCTTAGGAACAGAGCTGTATAACTGGTCGGTAAACCCACAGAGAAAACTTCTTCTTACTTAAGTGAGACAAAATGAATGATGCAACAACAACAACAATGATGCGACAAGAATGCCACGAAAACCGAAAAACAAATTTGAGGTGGATCGCCGGTTTGTTAGGAAATCCGGTCCTCCTATCTGACGACAACCATTGACAAGCACCATATTTGGATCCCCGAGAGTGTTCCAAAAATGGTGAATACTTTGTCAAACAAATAGATGGCAGATTTTGTTGAGTGTCTTTCTCCTTTATTTTCATGTCCAAGTACCAAAGTTGGTGGTTGAAACCACTCAGTCATTAATTAAACTTCTCGGCTGAACTGCCATTCTGGCATTCTGATGTAAGCTCCCTCATTTTAGAAAAACCGCTTCCTGAGACAGGACTATTCAGCTTCATAAAGGTTTCAGATACACGCTACCCAGGTGGGCCTGCCACACCTGCAAAATTCTCGATCCAGAATCAGGTCCTGGAGACCGTGTTACTCCATGTCCTTCTTGACCGCATTGAACCAGGTTTTCTACCGTCTCCAAGGGAGTAGTGCCATTCTCGACGTCATGTGGGGGCTAATACCCTCATACGGCAAATAAGTCACGAAAAGTTGCTTACAACTTAGATTATTTATCCAGTGATTTAATGTGTTCAACATGTAATTTTGGCAATAACGTGGACGGTCGCAACAATGGTTAAGCAAATTGTTTAGGGTGAACAAAGCCCGGACATCGATTCTACTGTACGTGCATCAACCACAACGTTATCGAATAAATATTGTTTTTTCCAAGAAGTTAAACATCACTTTTGTATCTTTTGGTAACGATCGCCAATTGGGGTGTCTTTCAGTCTCTCACAATAAATATTCCTTCAAATGCTCTTACCAGAAGCATATTTATCCGCATCGTACATATGCCTTACTATAAATTAGTTTGTTTTCTCTCTATCCTCTAATCTGCCCGATATCGGTAGCAGTGGACAAGAGCGGGTCTAATACGTGCATCAACCACAACGTTATCGAATAAATATTGTTTTTTCCAAGAAGTTAAACATCACTTTTGTATCTTTTGGTAACGATCGCCAATTGGGGTGTCTTTCAGTCTCTCACAATAAATATTCCTTCAAATGCTCTTACCAGAAGCATATTTATCCGCATCGTACATATGCCTTACTATAAATTAGTTTGTTTTCTCTCTATCCTCTAATCTGCCCGATATCGGTAGCAGTGGACAAGAGCGGGTCTAAATGCAAAAATCGCAATGGCCTCTGACTTGATGGTTTCATAATATACAAATATTCTGATGAAATTTCGTGTGCGTTTGATGGACTCTATTTTAGCCAAGATAGAACTTGTGTTCATTTAGAGGATCAAAATTAAAGTATAGCTTCTTATGCTCTAGTGTACCTTTCTGATTTTTTTTCATAAGAATCACGGACTTTGTTCCTGTGTTTTTTGTGATGATGGCTTGCAAAGCACCGTCTTGGCGGTAGTGAAATATCAAATAATGCTTCCGCATAACTCTGCTGTTTGGTGGAATAAAAACCACTAGTTATCCAATGCGGAGTCTTTCTCTAAACTCCTTTAAATGGACGATACGTAAACATCAGTACTGGTTTCTTTTTTCACAGGGTTAAGAGAGAAGCGGCAAATCATTGAGGCAAAGCGGCGTGAAAAGGAATTGCGCGAAGCCGCTGAAGCCGCGGGCTTACCAACGGACAATATCCATGTAAACCCCGGAGATATTGATTGGCTCTACGGTGCCAGTCAGCAGGATGTAGACGAAGAAACTGAGAGGAACGGGGACGAGGATCAAGGAGACAAAACCGAAGAACTGTCCGAACCAGAACAAAATAACTCAGAAAAGGTCACTTCTGGCGCAGGTGATATGGATGAATTTCAGCGGACTCAGCCAAGATTGGGGCCGATTATGGCAGCTCAAATGATCGAAGAGGTTTGTGACGAGCTTCACGAGATTTGTACAGGAGCTTCAAAGCCAAGAAATTCCGCTTCAAAGGAAGAGGAGGAATTACGAGCATTTGGACAGATTACTGATAATGATGGTGCGTTTTCTACCAACGGGAGCGAACCATCTGGCCCTAGAGATGGCGAATCCGATATGTCGGAACAAGATGCGCACCTCTGTCATACAAAGCCACACAAAGGACAAGAATTTCAATCTAGCCTAACAGTAGAAAACATTAATGTAAGTTCGGTGAATGAAGTTTTCGAGTAAAGTCCATAAAATGTGCACATACTAACTCCTATTCCTGTTTGATCGCAGGCGCCATAGGCAAAATTTTGTCCAAAAGCTTTCCTTTTTTTCTGTCGGGGTATTGGTGAACTTGAATCTGGTTGAATGTCGTCGTGTAAACTTACATACCGTATACTACCAAAAAGATTCTTCCAAAGTGAGAGTGAATTGGCTGGCATTTACAAGATTCATTTTATCGAAATCCATATTCGGCACATTCGTGAGATTTTTCCCTCCCTATACGCGCAACGAATATGCGATCTGCTTTGGATACGATTCACTAGGTCCTCTTGTAAATAAACCCGAAACGAGGTGAATTCTACGGAAGGAAGAATACACACAAAATTTACACGGTACAAGTGAAATAACGAATTGTTTGATTTGATAGCACTTACTATGAATAGGATGATGAACTGTGTCAGTGCTCGTCCAGAAAGGGTGAAGAAGTCTATACAAGAACCGCAACACCCGGTCGATGGGCTTGCTACTAGGACTAACTGAGATTCCTCTATTCACAAACAAAACCAAAAACTCGTGCCCAAATGGGAACTTAGAAGGTGTTACAGAAGAAACAGTTGGTCTTTGACGAACCACTCGACGCATATTTAGATATTTCTGTTTCATTTTGTTTCCCAAATAAGTGCACTATCGAGAAGCATTTTTATATTCGTTCCCGGTTGTCCGCATTATCTTCATCATTATCTACTGTGCTTGTGGTACAGTGGTTTTATTTCGTCCATCGATGATTTGGGAAGATAGAGTAGACAGCTGCTCATTGGAGGCAAGAGCTGATAAATTTTTGCGTAAATACAAGTCTGTCAGTAGAATTTTAAGTATGGGGATTGGAGGAGCTATCCCTGTGCCAGACTTGCGCTTTTCTCATCTTCCAATATCTTACAAACATTCAAACAAACTGAGCAGTCAATTTAGCACAGGTCTTCATATCAGCACATCAGCTTAGTAACAGCTGTTCTGTTCGTGGTCAAACAGTTCAATAAGCTGAGAAATTTTGCTGCCACCATGCAATATTTCACTGCACTCGGTGTTGAACCATTTGCAACAATACTGTCAATGTCAGCTAATAATTGGACTGCCATCTAGACAGTCGAGGTACGAACATTCTGTGTGAAGTCGTTCCGGAAGCTATATGGTGATTAGATATACACTCCTAATATGCCTAATACCATTGATGACGTCAGTTGCATTGATCTTGAGAAGTGTATAGAGGCAAATGAGTCTAACTGACCTACGACCGAATCTCACGATGAAATAGGAATTTTTAGCTGTGCGAATTCATGGTATAGTACGACAAGGGTACTAAGCAGCCTAAGTGGAAGTATAAGCTCGCATCTGATGATGTAAAATAAGCATACTACTTAATAAATGAAGTAAAAACAATACGATTATAAAAATAACGGGTTATTCCGTTCCAGTATGTGTGAAAGATGTGATACTGACGTGAGTAGGGATTTTCAAATTTTCAACTAACGTTGGTAAGCTGTTCAGACTTTTAGTAAAACTTTATTTCCAAAAAGCGCACTGAGATAATCGCCGCAGATTTTGAAGTAACTCACACCCGTTTAAGTCTAACAGCAAATGGATAATATCTGACTAATTAAACACACTGCTTCACGTCTTTACGGTTATTTAAAATAAGAGCGAGCCAGCGGCTCCAGTACACTATGTTCCAAGTTCCAATGTTCCACACCCTTTAAGCTAAGCAATTGGTGCAGCAAATCAATTTGATTTTCGTCCGTATCTGCCTCCTTTATTTTCAGATAGCCTCTGAAATGCCTTCAAGTGGAGAGGCATGCCCAAATACGACCAGTGAACCAGAAGTAGTCACAATTGCGCGACGATTCTCCGAAACGGAGGAAGTGTCCATCTTTGGATGTTGCAAGCAAGTGCAATCTAACATTCAGGACTCGCTCATTTCGCAGCTGTTGATTTCAAGTGAGTTTTTGTGCATTCCTGTAAGTTGAATGGATAAAATCTCCAAAATGTAAAGGAAATTCTGTTGGGCGGTTTGAGGAACCGGCATTTTCAGTGGATGTCATTGTGGTGTATTTTTAAACAAAAACGTTTTTATTTTCCATTTGTTTCTACTAACAATCAAACTTGGAAGAAATTTACAAAGGCCCAGTTCTACAAGCTAGTTTGCGATTATGGGTAAACACGGGAAAATAGGCACTCGAAGATATTCACTACAAACTTTTACTTTTCCCACCAACCATGCAGCGACAACAACTCGGGGATGTGGATATCCATTGACAACATTTAACGTAATAGAATGAGAGAAAATGGGTAGATACGGAGAGTAAAATAGTTCACATGTTCGTTTTGGTAGGAAATACCCAAATTCTATTGGAGGGGAAATTTCTTTGGGGTGGTTAGCGCTTGAAAAAAAAATAATTGGACGGACTTTGTTCCGAATTGGCGAGGCCTGAAGACATCAATTTTTGGTGAATGATTATCGTAAATACTGGTGGAAGATAGAAAATACAGTGTTTTCAATACGTGGGATGAATGGGAACTTAAACGTTCTATAGAAAACCTATTCCCTGATTTGAGTGATTTGAAATCGCCATGTCAATCGCAGGGCAGAAAACGTGCCAGAAGACGGGACTTTAGCAACCCAAGAACTCGTCATGTCGAGGTTAGTATGTTTCCTCTTAATGTTAGCCCGATGTCTAGCAATCAGCTTTTGTCATTTCGACGATTGTGTTGGAAGAGTTTTCCAAGCACTTACGGAAGGCTATGTGAAGAAAGGTATATCCATATGCGTCAAAAAATACTCCCATCTCCAAGTCTCTCGATGCATGTTGCGCCAAAAAACTATGGTATGACTTGCTACAATTTCTAGCATTCTTCGCAACAGAATTCCAACAATCTTGGTGATTCCTGTGAAGTCCAACAATCATACTGATTTAACCCAAAAATCTGTGCGTGCTTTCCCAATTGACTGAAAAATATTCCAGAAAGATAGCTGAAATGCATGCAAGGGAATCAGCGGAAAAAAGCACTTGAAAATCCTATTAAAAGACATTCATGTAGATCATCAAGCAATACAATTTTATTTACTACTTATACGTATATTCTAAACGCAATAATTATCACCGTCAGGTTTCGAGCTGTAAGTTGCAAAGATTGGAGAGAAACGGTTCGGTTTCTATGAAAGCAAAACTCACCAGATGTGTTCAATTAGTAGAGGAATAAAGAGGAGAGAGTGGAGAGGAAGAAGAGCTGGAATCTTAGATAGATCATCACCAGCCAGTGAGTGATGGGCAAATCAAAAACAGTTTAAATGAATATTTACCTAAGAACTGATTTGTGAATACCTATAAGTGGAACAATAACCAAATAAGTGCACAGCTATCGTTTCAGAAGAGCTTGGTAAACAATCGGTAGTTTTTATTTGGGCAAAGTTTCGTTTTTGACATTAAAGCTTCATTAGGCCAAGTGAACAGGTCACTAAATTGGCCAGGTTATAAGTCAGAAGGTGAACCAATCAGTAAGTCCTCTTCATACTAGATCAGTGTTGAGTGTCAATTGACGACTCTTGTTGGCTAGTGTGGTTGCCAAAATCTTGAAAATCTTGATTGAAAAGTGCACAGCTAGTTTGAAAGATACTGAATTGCAAAGCTCTGGTCTTCCATAATGTGACATTAATGAACCGCATTGTCATGCTTTCCGTAGTTGGCAGCATTATATGTAATGGATGGTGTATTCTACGCCAGTTGTTCCACAGACTGTCCAGTAATTTTGGAATTGAACTGTCCGCACTGTTTTATGCAAGCATTGGAACAGAATCAGCTCTTCTCTCGATGAGAGCTTCGTTATGTGGCCGGGTTACCTTTCCCTTTGTTTGTGTGCGGCAGACACGGAGAAGAATCTCCGTTTTGATGTCTATTTATGAAAGGCATGCGGTCTCAGGTGTTTGCTAACGATATAAAATGTCATTTTCCGACGATCTAGTTTGACAGTTGAGTTCAGGTTTTCGTTGTTTTAGTCCAGGAGAAGCGGTCATGAATCAAAAGCCATCTGGAAACTATACACCCACAAGTTTCTTCATTTCGGAATCAGTGTGATGTCGAATTTCCTCTTGTTGTGCCAGGCGCTTCTGAAACTTTGAACTACACTCAAGAGCGTTTTGACCCCATCGTCAAATATAATATTTTTAAGAACACTCCCTGTGTCTTGAGCTAAAATCATAACATGGTATCTTCGTTCTTTTAAGTTGAAAAAATCAAGTCCATACGAAGTAAATTTGCGGATGCGCTTCTTGACAGAAAATCATGCTCTGAAGGTGCTGATTGCTTTTTCTCAGGTAGTGAAAACAAGCACATGCAGATATCTGCTTACTCAATGTCTCCCACATTATCTTTGTAGACAATTCAAATCAGATTCTCGAACCAGATGATGAGTCTGGTAAAGATTCGATCGAGAACCTTCATGCTTCTTCACCCCTGTACCGCATGCAGCATAAAGCCCCGAAAGATCTGGTTAAAGGTTAGTCAAAATGCTTACCAGAAGTCGACTGCCTTCTGGATCCGTTTGCGGTCGGCTGGGAATTCGATGTAGAATATGTACAAATTATTCCTTCAAGGGATATACTCTTGCATGAAGATGAAGTTATTGGTCTTTTTTAGTCTTACACCCCCCAGAGGCCTCCAGATATTTCCTCTCTCCATAAATGCATATATATATATATATACATATATATACAAAAAACCGATAAATTGTTAAGGAATTTCTATGATTGATCAAAGGAACTTTTTACGGGACTAGAGGGATCAGAATTCTCTTCGAGTTGTAACTTTAAAATTCCAAAATTTTAACATGGTCGAAATGGCCGTTTCTTCACTAAATAAGAAGGTGTGCAGACTGGACAGGAGAGGTTTTATAAGTGATGTATTGGTCAATTTTTCTCGTTGCCAGTTTAGGCACACACCTTATACTAAGCGGCAGAACTATCATCCCTAATCATTTTACTTGACGAGTGGTGTTTCTAAACCGACGGCTGTCGGATCTTGAGTTTACCGTGTCATGAACGGATATATCGTACTTCGTGAACCAAAGACACGGCAAGTAAATTATACCAGAGTTTTTTTTCGAGAAATTGCACTTCCTTCGATGTACCAACCGCTCATACCCCATAAGTTACGAAGGTCAGGTCACGTAGCTCGTACATCAAATGACCACTCACCTCGCTGCCCAGCCTTTTGTCGATTAGAGTTGACCCAAGGCGGGGAAATCCTTAACTCCGTAAAAGCATGAAAGCCCTTAATGGCCGGTTTAGTAGCACTGATAACTGTTCCAGGAGAGGGAAGAACTAGTGATCCTGAAGAAATTCTGGTGTAAACGATGACCTCGTTTGTGAATTCTCCTCTTTCATTCTACCAGGATATAATGAAAACGGTTTTCGTAAGTTGACCTTAACTTCAAAATTACTGATAATTTCAGTCAGCTCTGGTAAGCAAAACCTGAGAATTGTTCACAAGCGTTAGAATTCACCCTTCTTTTTCGCTTTTGTGCGCTTTGCAGAGTGTCACTGGGCGAACACTTCCGAAGCGCCTGCGGCAAGCGAGTGGACAAATACTCTCGAATCGACAAACCCAAAAATTATTGAATTAGACGTCGATGCAGGTAAATACTCTTCTGACAGGCATCGGTTTTCATGCAACACGTTTTCAGATTTAGTTCCGAATTCTGAGTCTGAATCAGTTCCGCAAAATGAAAATCCCACTCTGACTGAGCAAAAACAGGCAAACCTCGAAGCTTGGATACAAGCCAAACAATGTGAGGATCTGACTGCAGTTAATCCGGCTCAACTGATTAGTACAAATAATGCGCTGCTTACCGGGGCAAATGAGGGTAAGAACTTTTGGCGTTTACAGTCTATCCGGTGATGCTACAATATTCGGATTCTCCAACTAATACGGACAAAAAACGGGATTGTCTAGTAAATTTCACTTCAGGTTGTTGGAGATGTTTACATATAATCCGAACTTCATCTAGTATGTGGTTCAGAGGAATTTTTGAGAAGTTTCCATGGAATCACCTTGCACTCTTTAGAACAAAAAAACCACTGTATTCTGACCTTCCTGTCGTGAGTTGTATAGCAAAGCAGATGACCGCGATTATTAAGACCCTTCGGTTGCTTTATTAATTATTCATCAGAATCATAGGGGAGGCATCAAGTTTAGCATTCATTTCGAAGTCATTTCGTGTTATTGAACTAGACACTTGTATGAGCAGAATGATATCATAGGTTTTGTTTTAACGACTGTCACTCACTGCTGGGTGTATCGTTCATTTTGTTTGTGCCACAAAGAGTTTTGTCGTCTAACGTGAAAGTTACTGTTTCAAAGGCATTCCTAGCACGAAGACATGTTATTGAGCACTGGCGCTACCTCAATTAGCAACAAAATTCACGAACTCTGCAAAAAAATTATGAAGCACGAATGATATGAATTGGATGTGTCTTGACTGTAAAAACACTCCGCAGTAAACAAAACGTCGGATTGTGACATCTTATTCCAATACGTAATGATTTGACTTTGAACGTCCTATGCGACCTGCCTCGCTGTTTAAATAGATTATTGGCATTCATAATGAAGTCCTGTTTTTACCTTTTTAATCTTAGATGGAGTTGAGGAAGAAATTAACCTTGAAGAACGGACGGTAGGTCTGGTGTAAAACTGTTCAAATCTCTCTAAGATTGGCGAAATACACTCAATTTCATACCAATTTGGTTTTGACGGAAGGTTCACCTGAGACCAAGTTGAATCTCTCGCTTATGATATTTTTAAGCAGCTGAATGAATGAAACATCACAAATGGGGGATTCATTTGTGTTCCCGGTGAGTCCCCCGTCAAGACCAAATTGATATCCGAATGAGTGCAATTCACTAATTTCTTACAATTTGAGTTCAAGTGGAACATAAGGTCGACGGAAACTCGGGAACTGCGCCTACCTGCTGAGCTCCAAGAAGGGCAAAACCGGTAGTATGTTGCTGAGGGGATTTTAGGCGACATCATGGATAGTGGATTATCTCTCCGGATTAGTTCGCATATTGTGGCATTATCTGTTTTCGTAGCCGTAAACCACGAACGGAGCAGGATAACTAAAACTAAGTCAATTGTTTCGTTTGAATTATATGAAATTTCCGTCTCTCGTGTTTTGTAAGGGGCACGAAGTACTACTATAGCGCTTCAGTTTCTCAAGTCCCCAGTTTCCTTTGGAAGCATTTTTAACCAAGCACCGCATTTTTATCTTATTGCTACTTGCTGTTAATTGATCAGGATAGTGGAGCTATGGTTTGGTCGTTAATATTTTGTTTCGTGTCTACAACCATGGAGGTTAAATGGTTAGAACTTTAGCTATGGCCAACAAAAGATGACAGGTTTTTTGTCAGTTGTCACTGGAAGCATTCGACCTTTTTATCGGAATGTTCAGCTTATATGGAAAACTGAAAGGTTGGAGAGAAACGGAGGCATTCGAAAGGACTTTTGTGTTTTATTTCACCTTGTATTGTTCTCTTTGTCTGTGCAAAAGTGACGACCTCGCGATATGCTGAATTTTGCATCGACGACTAGTTTAAAGATAGCTCAGTAGCTAAGGTGCAGACTTACTGACCGGAATTTCCAAGTTTTGAGTGTAACCTTGCAAGCTCCACCGCCATTGTACTGGCTTGATTAGCCTGACAATATTTTAGCCCTCATGCTTCCTTTGGAAAGCATGGCAGGTAGGCCCTGAAAGACTGTCGCAGTTGAGTGATTACTGTCATTATTAGTCCAGAGGAGATTGAAACACTGTTTTTCTCGTCTCTGTAGCGAGCTTAGTTGAAACTAAACACTCTTTCTACGTGCAACATATCTTCAGTAGCAGTCCGCGTTCTAAGTGACCATAGATACAGCTAAGAGGTTTTCAGCATTCGACTATAAAGTGTGTACATTTTTATCGGCGTTACTCATGTAGGCTATTTTACCGTCATCTTCCAAACAACGGGCGCAGAATGTTCTATACATTTAGATCAGTTATTAGCTGCAGTAAGAAAATTTGCTCTATTTTTTAGAAAAACGGTGACAGACACAAACCTAGTATCACTTGTTTCCTAAGCTGAATAACTAACGTTGGGATCTTCGTGACTGACCAACAACACACTAAACCCAGGTACACGCAAATGTGAAGAACAAAGGTGTAGAACTCATATCAACCGCTGTGATAAGGTTAATGCTAACATTGTTGGGTAGCTTTCCTACTGAATTCAGCCAGCTTCGACGCAAACAAATCATTCTGCGACGAACTTTTTAGGCCATTCCATGATGTTGTCCTGTTTAGGAAGCTTAACGTCTCACCAACACTAGGAAATACTTTGACCTACTCCTGACAGTTTCTCACTAACTCCCCTTCACTGCTGTTACACAGCGAAGTTTGACATAGAGTACGGACGTTAAAAGCCCCTATATAGAAAGGATCTTGTGGATTTAGAAAGGTGTTATTTTGTTTAAGGTTTGTAGGCAGCGTGGAGCATAAGGCCCTTCGGTCAGATGACAGACAGTCAAATGGCCCAGCGACGTTTGCTTGTGCAGTGGGAAGGGGTTGGGGAGGGACATCGGTGGACGCTGAACATCGAGTACGCAGACGACATAGCTCTTCTAGGATCTGACCCCGTGGCATTGCAAACAATATTAAATAATCTAAATAATTATGCCTCGCGGTTCGGCATGTGCTTCACACCTGCAAAGTGTAAAGTGTTACTGCAAGACCGGGTGGACTCGAACCCTAGCCTCATGCTTGCAGGTGAACCCATTGAGGTAGTAGCCAAATTTGTTTACCTGGGCAGCTGCATCAGTCCCGGTGGTCTCGCGAAAGATGATATTTCCATCCGGATTGGGAAGGCCAGAGCAGCTTTTGCGAACCTACGTCACCTGTGGCGTAGGCGTGACATCAGTTTCTCTGTCAAGGGTCGGGTTTACAATGCTGCGGTGCGCTCCGTATTACTATATGGATCAGAAACCTGGCCACTGCGCGCCGAGGACGTCAAAAGACTTTCAGTGTTTGACCATCGATGTCTTCGGAGCATTGCCCGAATCTGGTGGGAACATCGGATGCGCAATCTCGAAGTACGTCAAATGGTATTCGGGAGAAATAACTCACCCTCGATAGATGAACTGATCACACTGCACAGGTTGCGTTGGCTTGGCCACGTGCTGCGTATGCCAGTCGACCGACTTCCTCGAAGGGCTCTTTTCGCCCAACCATGTGAAGGGTGGAAGAGAGCCACAGGCGGTGAAGCAATGACTTGGCAGCGAAGTATGAAAGCCATTACCAGCAAACTCAGCTGCGCTGGTCACTGCCGTCTTCCTGGATGGGGACCCCGAGACGGGCCACATCAATGGCTAGAGACATTATCAGACATGGCCCAGTCACGCCCTCAATGGCG